TTGCCACTCACGCATGCGCAGTTCGTTTGTGCTTCTTGGCCGTCAGCTGAAGTCTTTGCGGTGTGTTCCAGTGCGACACATGGCCAAAACGCAGAGACGCGAGGCAACGCAACAGTCGGGGTCCGTCTGTGTCAGTTCTTTGTTGTCAGATTGACTTAAAACACGACTACAGGAAAGGCAAAAATAGGGCCCCTTTAAATGCTGGTTTATTACAACACAAACAAAAGACAACGCTGCCTTTTTCCCGGTGAGGACGATCTTTAATACTCAGGGTTTATCACTGATCCAGATGTGAACGGATGCACTTGTTAAATGTTAACCCGGGGATATTACAGGCCAGTGTTAAACCTGGGTTAGCTCTGCCTGCTTTTGTTCTAGCCCTCAATAATCCCTGCAATTTCCTCACAGCAGCTCAGTGCTGAAGCTTTGAAAGTGAATACAGAACACAGAAGGGGGTCTCAGAGGGGCGTCGAGAGGCACAACACACGTGCCAATGTTAATTTATACTTATTTTATTCTGGCTACACAGATCACTCTTTGACCTCTCAGGAAGAGTCCTCACAAGCTGACAATACTAGGCATTATTATGGGAAGATTTTGCGTCAAAACGTGACTAATTTAGCTGTTTTTAAGAGTTCTTAGGATGCTCAATCTGCTGAGTCAAGCTCAACATGACTCCGCGCTAACAGAGACGATTAGTGACGCAGCGGTTTGAAGTGGACGTTTAGTGTGAAACCGACCCCATGACTCATGGCTTTGGGAGTTTGTTTGTGCCAAAAACAGCACAGCTAGTGAAACCTAAATGGTTCAGATTGTATCGGTGAATACAACAGTTTGAGTGGTGACATATACTCCATATTCACATTCCTTACAATAGAGCAGGAATCGTATTGTGAATATGGATGCATTCTTTTGTTAATTTGTAAAGTTTGTAGTGTGCACAAAGAGACAAAGCCAGATCTCTTTCTGTTCCACTCATCTCTCTCTGTATTCCTCAGTGCACTGCTCCTCATTTGCATGACAGTTGAGAAATATATTGGCAAAGCAGCGAGACAAAGGCTCCCACTGTCTTTAATTGTGTCCTCTTTTCTCTCTTTCAGTGCCCCTCAGATAACAAAATGTTTCACATTCATCAGTGTGCGTGAGACACACCGTAGCCAAAGCTGTGTCCAGAATTGAATCACATTTACTGAACAATACTCGTAACAAAAGCCAACATAACTTCAATTAAAAGTTGCAATAAGGGACAACTTACCCAAAATCAAAAATACATACTCTTCAGCCAAATGTATTTTTTGGCACTTTGAGCACCATCTCGGAGTGCCATCTAATCCCATTATATTGGAGAGAAGACAGACAACTTTATGGGCAATATCTCTGGGAACTCAGACCGTAACAATCTAAATGGATACATAGCACTACAGGGGAAATGCTCCATAGAGCCGAGGGAAAACTGCAGAGTGGAAAGTGATTCCTTTCACATTCTAAATCATTGTTGATATCAAACATATTGATTAGTACAGCTAGCTTTAATTTCAAAGCACTATTGGGCATTTCTTTCTCAAAATTAAGATACGTTCTCAATCCAACGTCACACACACAACAGGTTTCTCCTTTCAGCTATGATGCTTTCTTGGTTGCCATGGCAGCCAACGAGTATCTCTGGTGCCAGGCAGAATTGGGCTCTGATTGGTTAATCAGTATTCAGGCTGCGTGTCTGCTAGGCTGGATGCTGCTCTGCCCTACTCTGTGTGTGTGTGTGTGTGTGTGTGTGTGTGTGTGTGTGTGTGTGTGTGTCCATCAACTGTCACTTATCACCTGAGAGATAAATTATACCTTGTTCTCCTCCCTTCTCTTTCTCCATTTCCTGTAGTTGAGAAAAGAGAGTAGGAGTGATGAATGAAGCGAGGTGAAGAAGAAGCAGAAGAGTAGTGGAGGGAGATTTGGGGAGGAAAAGTGGAAGAGAGGGGGTCAAAAGGGGGAGAGGGATGAAGAAGAATGAGTGACAGCGAGAGGGACGACGCTGACCTCTGACTCTCATCTTTAATGTTTAGTCAGAGGAGGTTTAGCTTGTCAATCGGAGGCACATTTTAAAAATTCTAATGAATCCTTTGGTTTGAATTTAGAGCAAATATACATCAAAGCATTATATCATTCATTTTTTATGATCACCATCTTGAGTCAGAGCCGATTTTGAGCGTCCCGTGATAGTTCATACGTCGTTTCAGAGCGTGAAATGAAGACAGAGGCGGTGATCACAAAAGAGTGGAGGGTTTGATCTTAACCTTTCAGAGTGATTGACAGCAGTCTGGTTGCCATGGGGATATAATGAAAGTGCAGACTGCCTTACATAATGCGATTATGTGTCTGTGTGCGTGCGTGCGTGCGTGTGTGTGTGTGTGTGTGTGTGAAAAGCTTAGACTGTTGCTGATTTCTACGTTTCAGCGCAGTTCAAGGGTCACCTGTCCTCTAAGGGATGAGGAAGTACCTGTCATGATGCACTGCTGTTTTAGTTGTTTGGAGATAACTATTTTTTTACGTAACTGCACTGGCGAGGGGGATAGAGGCTCCAAGTGGCCATGATTACTATGAAAACCATCTATGACGCATGCTTTTGTGTGCACGTGTATGTATGTGTGTGTGTGAGTGCATGTAAGTGAGTGTGTGCATGTTAGTGTGAGTGCATGTACTGGAGCGCCTGTTGTCTTTGATGATAATGAGGCAGACAGAAACAGGCTCTCAAGTGAGCTCTCAATGCCACCTCAAACACATTGCTCCAGCACAGGCATACGTGTGTGTGTGTGTGTGTGTGCGCGTGTGTGCGCACGTGCGTGTGTGCATTTGTGGCAGATAAGAGACCATAAATCCCAACTCGGTGCTGTTTTAATGAAATTAATCAAAAAGACAGGAAATCGAAACATTTTGCGCTATGTGATAACAAAATGTCATTTTGCTTTGCGGCTATAATTGGCTGCTTTTTAATAAGAGATTACTGTTCAGCCATTTTGCTTTGTGCATAATGGAGTTTTACTTTAGCTGGTGGCAAAAGTGATCTCATTAATTGAGTCAAGGCACACTTCGTGGAGTCAAACAGGGCCGTAGCCAGGATTTAAGGGTCTCTATTTCACCAGAAGATACCAAACCACTTATGGGTTACTAAAGATTTTAACTCCCCGAAAGTAGGTAATGTTTTTAACTCGGTTTGTCTCTCAGCAGGATTATGAAAAAGCTACTGGCCTGGTTTTCATGAAACTTGATAGAGGGTCATGAAAGAAACCAATTACATTTTGTAGCAGATCAGAATAATAAACTGAGTTTTACTTTTACTAACTTTGGGAACACTTTTACTGCATTCATGTAGTGTTGGAATAAACTGAGAAATTAATGGTAAAATTCCCCCTCAAGTCGGAACATTTTGGTACAAATTTGAATGTTCCCCTAATCTGTTTTCTAGGATATATCCCAACTCAGGAAACAGGACCATGTGAGGAGCATAAATGCATCGTCCTTTGTTCAGGTCTATTTTTCCTCTTTGGTAATGTCCTCCTTTATTGGACAGTGAAGAGGAAAGAGGATGACGGGAAACAATATCGAGGACATAACCCCACTCTCACAGCTGTGGCCCTGGAGCCAAAGAAATGACGACCAGAAGCATTGCCGATTTAAAAAATAAACGTCACACAAATGAACAATAAAGAGAACATCGAAAATACTTATATTGCTTTAAGAGAACTATGAAACATCTTGATTTTGTTATGAAAGTATAGAGCCCTAGAACTACTCAATAGTGGTATAGTTCATCTATTGCTTACGTTCAGGTGAAGGGGCCATATTATACTTTTGGAGGTTAACTTTTGGATTGCAGACCATTTACATGCACAAACAAACAACACACTTTGCTGACAGAAGGACACGATCTAGGTCCTGTCATCGCCTTCTTCAATGATCAATTACACGTCCAGCAGAGGATGAACGTATATATGATGGATGTTTACACTTAGAAAGACAACGACTTATAATGGCACCCTGATAAGGCCAATATAGAATATAAATTGTGGCGGATGCAGAAACTACAAATGAGAAGCTGTTCTCAACTCACTTTGCAGACATTAAAATAATTGAATTTGTCTGGAGAGTGATGAATCACACAGGTGCAGTATTATGACAAAGTATGGGAGTTAAAATTCATGCATGCGCTACAAAGTATGTGACATGATAGCAGAACAGATGGTGAAACAAAATACTTAAGATGACGAAGAGTGACAGGAGAAAGATATGAGGGAAAATAACTGAGGCGTGATGCAGCAAAAAAGTCATGGCAAAGTTCACCAACTTAACACTTACTTATTTAAACAAGTTATAAATAACGTTAAGCTATCATCAGTTTGAATTAGAGATTAAGCATGCAGCTTTTCATTGCATATAATTAAAGTTGCAGTGCTTTATAAGCCACATCTTGCTAATTAAACACCATGTTGCCCTTCAAAGTACACCTCATTTACATAACATTTACATATGCAAATTATAATGACATCCACCTAATTAAAGTATTTGCTGGTTCATCTGTCATTTAAAGGAGGCCAGGCGGTGTGTGTGTGTTTTCTGCCTGTCAACCTGCTGCCATACCTGTCTAATAGTGAATATGTTTAATGGAGCTTCCAACAAAATCTATTTCTCTGAGTGTCTTTCTCTCATAAGATAAATTATGAAATTATTCTGTAAAACGTTGTTGCTTTTTCTGAACAGTTTTGGACAGAAAACAGCATTTCAATCAGGGATGAAATACTTGTAGAGAGCTCAACAAATAATAATACTTCTGCTAAAAAGACACAAAGCTATTTCTTTACAGATGAAGTCACTTCCTTCTTCTGCAGCTAAAAACGGCTGATCACACATCGCACCCGTAGGTCAATAAAAAGGATGAATGGAATTCATTTGGATGTTGGATGAATAAATACAGGGATGGTAAAATGGTTATTCGACATCAATCAGTCCAGTCCTTTATATAAATCCTTTATTCAATATTGTTTTCTGTGTGTATACAATGGATTGGACACAAACTGTACAGTGCAGACAAACTGTTTGCATAATATGTATGTAAAGGTAACTGTACATTTACCGACAGACAGAGTAATCTCCTTTTAGGTTAGCGCCAGTGACATTTTGCTTTTGGCTCATAGCTAGCATGGTTTGCATCACAGCGGGTTGTTGTACGTCTTGGTTCTCCGTATTGTAATTAATCCCAGCTTCACTGTAAAACTGAACCTGCAATTATATGTGCACTAACTTCCATTAGCCCTGTTTCAGGAACACATACTGCGGATAAAACCTGGACAAACCCCACAGCAGCATGAACACGAATAAAGAAACCTCCGCCATTTTGCTTTTCACTTTAATATTGAAACGTCTGTTGGATGATTTGTCACTTTACACATGTGTGACACCATTTCTTTCCACCTTAAATGTCACTAGAAGATGGCGTACCATGTGGTATGTTTTAAGATTTGATAATGGTCCTTAATCAGAGAACCGCCATCTGTTTCCACGTGTCAGCATCTCAAATAACTTCATAAACTCAATCCATCATTGTTAAAAGAAGCAGAAAGGATATCAAACAATTACTTCTTCTGGTTTTTTGTTATCTATATATTATAATATAATTTTCCTCTCAGCCAGATGAATTAAATAGGGATGCTCTGCTAAAAGTTTACCACGCAAGACATGCATTAGTGTAACTGTATTAGAGATATGAAGTAATTTTGATTCATTCTTCCTTTGCTCCATTAATGCAATGATGGATTACTGTATGTTAGATGTTTGTGATGCCACACATGTCTACCAATGCAAACCAATGTGAGAAATGAGCCAGATGCAAAGTTGTACTGGTGCTCCGCTGTAAATGTTTGTTTTGTTTTGAACACATTTCCTACATTACCACATGCATTAGCCCCAGTCATCTTTCCTCTTTTAAAAACCATGCAACAAGTGGGAAACAGTCCAAACAGAGAGGAGAAAGGAGGAGGTGGGAATAAGCTCTCTGGCTGCATGAGTGAAAGCTAGCATAGTTACAGTGAACAGAAGATTGGGGATCAAAGGATAATTGAAATGTAAAAAAAGGATGAATAGTGTGTGTGTGTGTGTGTGTGTGTGTGTGTGTGTGTGTGTGTGTGTGTGTGTGTGTGTGTGTGTGTGTGTGTGTGTGTGTGTGTGTGTGTGTGTGTGTGCGCTCAGAGAAAGAAACAGCTGGGAGGAGAGCTTGGTAACTGTCTCGTTTCAGATTCAGTTGTAATAAGGCAGTCTTTTGTCAGAGGAATAAAGTGGAATGGAAAAAAGAAAGGAAACCTGAGGGAGGCCAGCTACATCCTGGGTACAGTGCTGATCACTACGTCTCTAAAGTGCACCTGTACTGCAGTGGTCAGGTCACAAGCATTTTCCCGTCCTATTATGTCCATGTTGTGCCTTCTGGTTTCAGAGCTACAGGACAAAGTGAGATGGCTACATGTGTACCTGCCACGAGAACATGAGTGGTACTTGCATGTGGAAATTAAAAGTGACCTGGGTTGTCGTGATTGCTCACTTCTAATTAAATCAGCCCTCTTCATGTGCACAGCCCGCCGTTAGATATCTCATAATTGTAGCCTTGGTACCTGGCTAACCACCAGTGGAGAGAAATCTCGGAGGAGACGCTGAGAGTAATTGGGCCTTCGTTGTTTGAACCAATAACTGTGATTACCAGCCTGGAAACACTATTGAAGCGGTGTCTTTGTTCAGTAGCCAGGAAACCATGTCCCTTTTTCTCCATCCTCAACCATCATTCATTCTTGAGCATGTGCCACAGATCTTCAATAGCTGCTTTCACAGGATGTGAGCCACACTTCTAACTTAACAAGCTGGGCCTCTCTGAATGCAGGACCATTTTCCCCCTGCCAGCAGTGTGGACAAATTAGCTGCTTAATAATATTCGATGAATAGCAGAGTCTCGATTGTATCTCCTAAATGTCTGGCCAGGCAAAATCATTGTACTCTATAGACTGTAATTAAAGTGACTTTTTAGACACAGGCAGCTGCGACAACACAGGATACGTAAAAAAAGAAGGACGTTTACAGACCTGATTGTCAGGGTTTTTGTCTTTTTTTTTTTTTACAGTTTTGCTAGTAACCCCAAGTGTGACACAGCAATATTATGTTACATCCACATTTCTTTGACGCTAGACAAGTACAACACCGGTCAAAAAGGACTTCTTACTCATCACCACGGCCCCACGTTGCACTTTAAGTAACATTTAACAGGGACAGAGCCGAAGTCGAGCGACTTTGAGAATTTGGAAATGCTTGCTAAACCCTGCTGGATAAATATTTAGCATTCAGATCTCACATCTTGAGCTAAACTGGGGATGAGAGGCACTCCCATTGAATCTACACAGTCCAGCGAAAAATAATACTTTCAGATACATTTCGTGCTTTCACATAAGATTCTTATCTCTCTTTTTTGCACACATATTTCAATTCCATTTTCCCCTTATCCACAAATATTTTCCTTTCACAACAGTAGTTACGGAAGGACACAAATAAGCAGAGTTCACAGAGTGTAAATTGGTCAGCCACACGTGTTCGAACACCAAGGCGAGCGGCAGCTAATGAGCTCAGAGGAGAGAAAAATGTGTGAGGAACATTTCTGAGAAATGCCAATTAGAGACACTGAGATGTCTTGTATTTTTCAAGAGTGCATTCTCCGTACAGTACAACACAGCGGGACAACATTGAACACTTTGGAGAGGTTTGTGTTTTACCTGCTACACACCTGACGCTTAATGTTGGAACAACTGTGAGGATTAGTCGTTGTTTTTTCGAGGGCGGGACGCTTTGTGTTGTTTCTTTGTAGTTTTGGGAGGTCATTTATCTCCAGCAAATACGACAAGTGTTTCAAGGATCTGATCGAAATGCAAAGCAGAGACTTGGCCTTAAAATTAACATTCAAAGCAAGAGAGATTGCACGGTTTCTGTTTCTTACTGAGTACATTAATTTGCTGCTGCCTCATTGTCTCCGACACTAATATGAAGTGTGGGATCACAGCATTAACGTCCCCTCAGTGATATGACGGACTACCGGTGTAGTTAATTGGCGTCTAGTCTTTGACGAGTAAACCGAACGTTTGTAGAGCAGTCCGGAACAGATTGGTGCCGTGTTGACTGTCACAGTGAGAGGGCTAAGCATGGGGAGCTATTTGGTTTTTATTTCTCTCCAAGGCATTTGATTTCCAGCCCTGTAGATCTAAACGTTTCAGACAAAGCCTTGTTTCAGTGGTTTCATTTTATCGCTGTGACCAAAGTGTGCTATTTGTTTTCGGGTGGTTATACAGAAACCAACTTTCTAATACTTGTTTTTACTTGAATTGATAGACTACTTTACATATTGACACAGGACCAGTGGTGGAATATAACCACATATTGTATTTTCACTGTACTTAAGTACAATTTTGAGGTGCTTTACTTTAGTATTTTCATTTTCTTCTATTCTACTATATATCAGAGAAAAATATTGATATTTATAATAAATATTCCTCTTCATTTGTTTGACAGCTATAGTTATTAATTCCTCTGATCCTCTGCTACGGGGAGGGGTAAAGGCGTGCATTGCATTACCACAGTGCCTGTTTTTAAACCACTGGGTGGTACATTCCACACATAGTGGCTTCAACATAATTTACCCTGTTCATTATAACCCTCATTACTATATTTTCCTCATATCTTCAAGTACTTGGGAGGCAACAGAAAGAAAAAGTACTACTTCTCGAAGTTTCTGCTACTCCGTGTAAACAGTGACTGCTACCATGCTGCGTGGACGCCAGCATGCCTCCTGTACTTTGTGTTGCTACAAACAGGGACATCATTCGGGTTTCATCACTCAGCTACACTAACAAGCAGATCTCCTCCTCTCCTGAGCTACCAAGTGATGAGGAAATCATAACATTCGTAAAAAAGGGACAGAAAACAACTTGTTAGACGGAGAGGTAGACACAAAATATCTGTTTTGTGTCCGTACAACGACGCAGCTCAATATTCACTGTGTGTGCAGAATAATGAACCATCTAACAGATAGATAATAAAGGAAAACATGCTTTAAGCTATGTAGTGTCAAATAAGAACTCTCTTTTCTTAACAGATATGTGATTAAAGCAGGTCATAGTGTGTGTTGCCTTGTTTTTAATGCACAGGGCGATTTAAAGAACATTTCATTATAGACTCGGTACAGAATGTCCTGTCTTAATTGATCGATGACTAAGCATCCTCTGAATCATCTGGTTGGTATTTAAAGTGTTCTTTTTGCCCGTTGTTTGTTTTTTTAATCTGTTTTTTATTTACGCAAAATCGAATCCAAGTGGTCGATTTCGGGTGGGAGTCGTGTGCAAGTGTGTGTGTGCGTGGCCACCGGCAAGCAAGCATACCTGGCAACAGAAACAGTATCAGGAGAGGAAAGAAAGGGGCCTCATTGGGGCCACAGATTGTCACAGAAAAATACCGGTGAAGAAGACATTTTTTTCTCGTTTTTTGTTTATATCTTTAAGAAGTCATTTTGTCTCACGTATGAGGGCATGCCACTGAACCAGTTCCCAAATATCTGGCGGGCATTGGCCAGATATTATGGTCTTCCTCCTCCCTTTTCCCCCGCCACCAGTCGAAGCGAGTTGTAGCGGATCCGTCCTACATCGAGACGTGACGCGACGAGCGGCCCCACTGCTGACCAGTCAGAAGTTGATGGTTTGGTTACCTTTCCTTGCAGTTTTTAGTGAGAGCGCAGCAGTGGGGCGAGTCTGGCTTGTCCTGGCCTCTGGTTGGCCAGGGGGGGATAAAAGGGGGGAGGCGGGGTTATGTCTTGTCTGGTTTGTTGACTGGTTTGCCGCCGTTCATGACCACAGGTTCGCTGGTTGTAGTTTTGGAAGACGGGGCCCCGGCGACTTTAGGCACCGCCTCCCCTACGTCGTGCAACGAAGGCTCTCGATACATCGCAACTGGAGGGGTCGCGGGAGAAAAGAGGCGGATGGGAGGAAGGAAAGAAAGGGAGTGGGAGGAGGAGAGTTGAAAGAGTTACAGTAGTGGTGAGAAATGAGAAGAAGAAGAAGAAGAAGAAAGGTGTTGACAAGTGAAGGAGAGAAGAAGAGAGGTAAAAGAATGTGGAAGAGAAAGGGATGTATGATAAGGGAAGTATGAAGGAAGGAAAGAAACCAAGAATGTCAGGAGAAGAAGTGTCTATACTTTCAAATCCAATACAACTAAGAGACATTTCAGAAAACAGACATGTATTGTAAAACCACAAACATTGTGTGTGTGTGTGTGTGTGTGTGTGTGTGTGTGTGTGTGTGTGTGTGTGTGTGTGTGTGTGTGTGTGGTGTGTGTGTGTGTGTGTGTGTGTGTGTGTGTGTGTTACCTTCTATAGGTTTAGGCAGAAAGTGTGCTGCTGGTTTGGTCTTCTTCACCCTGTTGCCCTTCATGGCCTGCCCCTCTTTATTGAGGCCCAGGAACCAGGCCCGGCCCGACTCCTTCTGTCTGTAGAGCATCGAGCTGTAGATCACGTAGTAGTTCTCAAACACCGACTCCTTAAACTTACACTCCGCTGTAAACAGTTCCTGCGGAGACACAGAGGAAAGACAAGTATTTAGATAAAATACTGAATAACTTGCATATCAGACAATAGGCTACATCTGACATAAAATGCATGTCGACCAGCTGGCTGAATGATCCCCGAACAGACTCTCTCTTGTGCATGCATGTGAATACCAAACTAAACGGATAAAGGAAAGCAGATTGATTCTGCAGAAGCCCAAAGATCGCACACTCCCACCCACAAGGCTCTGCTGTTATATGTCAAAACCCTTTTCCACGGTCGCCGGCGCCTTCAGACGAACATATTTCAGCACTTAATCAAGGTGTTATTCTTACTGGGAGAGAAATCGCAGCTCCCCAGCGTCCTTCTGCACTACTGAGCCGCAGCAAGTAAGAAAAAGGCAGGCTGATGTAACACGGGAGGTCAGAATCTGTCAGCTTTCAAAACGGCAATTTTTAAGCAATAATGGATTTGTTGAAGCCTAGTTTAATGACAACATTTTGACAAGAATTTCCACTTTGCAATACCTAACTAAAACAGTTTTTTAATATGTTATTGATCACTTGTTTTCAACACCAGCAATCATTCAATTCACAATCATTTAAAGCTGACATTTGGGCTACTTGGGGGGAGCGAAACATGACTGAATTATCATTTCCTTGTTAAATCATTATGGAAAACATGTAAGCAAGAAATCGGAGCAGAATTAGCATTAATTTGGACGTTTCTGTCACCATGAAAAATGGTCAAATTCAGGGCTGATATTTGTCTTTCAGCTCTTGTTTGCTTTCTCTCAATTCCTCTTTAGTTGCTTCATTAGTCTTTGAAACGTTGTCTGTCTGTCTGCACGTGAAACATCCTCATTGATCCATTTTGTATCAAATATACTGATTGATTGCAGTGGCGTTTTCTCCCGGAGGCCAAGGGAAGCCAGGCTTCCCCTGTTTTTTCGGATTGTAGTTATAATTTAAATAAATAAATACAAACACTTTGTTTTGTTTCGATAATTCTCCTTTGCTGTGTGTTGCTGCCGGCCCGGCTCTCCCCCATTCTCATTGAGTATTTTACAAAGAGTGAAACAAACAGCGCCCCTCTAGATGTTATGGTGAAACAGTAGATTGCACTCCCTGTTGCGAGAGGAGGCCAGCCGAATCTAGCTTCCCTTGGTGAAAAAAAATGGAGGGATTGACCAATCAGATGAGGCCCACGTGATGCCCCTGCCAACCTGTGATTGGTCAGGGCCATGCCAAGGGAAGCTAGCCGCCTCTTGCTTCCCTTCAGAGGCGGCTGGCGGCTGGCGATTTGATTGGACACTGCCATCCAATCAAATCACATCAACATCAGTTTTAATACTGTAACTGTCATCACCGCCGTTAGAAATTATCAAGCAAATGAAGCATTATGGAGGGTGGAGATTTGGCGTACTTAATCAAACATAACTTTACTAAACTTCCGCTACAGCAGCAACTAAAAATAAATCAGATGACAGGCAAATGCCCGCACTCGAGCTGTGTGTACGCAGAGGAAAAAGGGAGAGAATCGGACGTTCAATGAGGACAATTATGTCCGCACGGAGTGGCTAACTGGAAGCGCTAAACTTCAGCGTCTATTTGGCTGGCCATGTCTTCTTTTTGACAAGGATTCGTGCTCCCTGAACAATCCTTGGGCAACTTCAGGATTCATCGACCTTGCCAACCTGTCACGGGCAATTGAGAGGCACGGTAAATCCAAAAATCACATAGATTGTGTGATTGTCTGCATACATTAATAAGTAAAATGCTTAAATTAATAAGGAGAGAGTTTCAGCTGGAGAGTGCGTGCGGACCTGTCGGTTAGATAACAGGCGTGTGCAAGTCCTGCATCTGTGTGATACAAATGTGTGTCAAATGATACCGGGCGCTGTAATCACTCATCTGGTTACGTTATTGACCACCCCCCGACCCAAAAAATGGGCTTCCCCTACATTTTTCCCCACGCCACGCTACTGATTGATTGTAGCTTTTACTTTTGCGGCATCACAATGACTAATTAAACAGATTTCTTATTGCATTTCATAAAGGAGCTCTCATAACTATTAAGTACACAATGACTGGCACATTTTCTCATCGAGGACATTTTACTGAGGATATAAATAGCGTATATAAACTTTCCCTGGTGTGGCTGAGGAGGCTCCTGCCAACCCAAACAATCACCCGGAGGTCCCCAGACCCCAGATTGTGAAGTGTTTGTCTAGACCGGCTCTTATTGGGCCTCCTGCCAGCGCCACAGACGCATTGTCATTCAGCTCAGGCCTGTCGGTCCGAGTCTCATAGCAACATGAGGAAGAGAGGTGACACTGTAGCCGTGACAACCAACCAGCGCCGAGAGGGAGGGGTCAGGGTGGGTGGGTGTGTAGGGTGGGGGGGGTAAGGGGGGGGGGGGATGCAAGCGCGAGAGAGAGAAATACACAAACACTTGATGATTTAACGTATAACTAAATCTCACTCTCAGCCACAGCCACTCATGCTAACATAGGAGGACACTAATAAAGGTGTGTGTGTGCGTGTGTGTGTCACAAGTGTGTGTGCCAGCCCCCCCCCCCACACACACACACACTTGTGGCTCTAGGGCAGGGGTGGCCAACCAGTCAGAGGTTAAGAGCCACATTTTGTCTATGTTACTGCAAAGAGCCACATCAAACACACAGTCACTGATACCGCTTGTTTCCGTTTTTTGTTTTCTGGAGACAAGATTTCAACCACGTCACTGATGCATTTTTGTGGCATTGGGATATATATTTTTTAAATCCTCTGGAGCAGAGAGAGGAGCTGTGGATTATTGTTATTGATTAATGCATCAGTGTTTCTTAGGGTCAAAAACACTAAACTCACAACTTAAAATGAAAGCGTTTAGTTTATTTAATAAAAGAGCACATGTTCAATGTGAAAAGTGACAGTAGTTATAGATTATTTGCAATTTGGTGCTATATATATATTTTAAAATAAAATTATATATATATTTTTTTTAAACACCTTGAATTTCAGGGGGGGGCGCGGGGCTCCGTTGGCGGGGCGCAGCGCCCCTCCAAGACAATGGTAGGGGAAACGCTGGATAATGTTTAATCAACGATAGGTTTCCCCCCCTCAAAGGTGATTGGTTCACTGCATCGCAGGTATTATTGTGATTGGCTCTTGGGCCACATCAAAATTATACGCGCTGTCATCCTCTCATACTGACACCACACATACACAACATACATAACACGGGACGAAAGTAACGGAGCGATTTTATCCGAGCCCAAACAACTTTGACCGGCCAAATTACGTCAGAATTATCAGCATTCAATACTTAACAGACCTACTAAATATCAGGTTTAACTGTCAGGAGTAGCTAGTGTTGTCACGATACCAACATTTTGGTTTTGATACCAAGTCAAGAATTGCGATTCCGATTCTTTTTCGATACTTTTCTTAAAAAAAGGGAAACGGTCTTAAATGTAATTATTGTGCTTTATTTCACACCAGAACCATAACCATAACACAAACTTTTAAACAATGAGAACAATAAATAAAATAAATGACAAGAATTCGTATTAAATAAAATTAATAAATGTCTTACAGACAGGCCTCGTGGTGTCCGTAGGCTTGCCCTCACTGTCAGAGATATAGCTCAAATACTTCCAAATTTCGCTTCTGGCGTCTTTTTTGTCAACAAGCCGAGGCGCAGCGGCAGTTGCACTCCCACTTGCAGCCATGCTTCTCGTTTTCTCACATGCTCTGGCAGCTAGCGCGTGCACGAGAGAGGGGAGGCACTTAGAGCGTGCTTGAGAGGGGAGGGACTTAGAGCGTGCTTGAGAGGGGCGGGACTGCAGGCACGGCTGCAGTGCAGGGAATGGAAGCAGAGCGCTGAACACACACGGCTCTTATTAAAACGGCGCTTTCTCACCGGAGTACTTTTCCCCCGTCATTCTTAAAGTACCGATACTAATGAAACGGAGGAATCGTAACGTTTTTAACGGCAGGGTATCGCGGTACCTTTCAAGTATCGGTACACCGTGCAACACTAGTCAGGAGTCAGTGTCTCTCCCCCAAACTCACACATATAAAATTCGATATGAACTGAAGAGCCGCATGAAACTAGGCAAAGAGCCGCATGCGGCTCGAGAGCCGCGGGTTGGCCACCCCTGCTCTAGGGGGATGAATGGAGGGAGGATGAATGATTGGTTGGTAACAAAACAAGAGATGGTTATAATGAATACATTCTCTTTTATTGGCAGTGTCAGTCACACAAATCAAATGGTTTTGATTTGTATTTTCAGCGCGATTGTTCTCGAAGGGGTTTTTATTCTTCACTCCTGGAAGAACTAAGCTTAATAATATATACTTTGACTTGACCTGCACCCAGGGTTCATTATTAATTTGTTAAGGAGGCCAGACGCTTCATAATGCCGGCCGGTGAGGTCATGCATCATTTAACGCTGCTTTTAAAATAAAATATGTTTGATGTCGAGGCTCTCGTCTGAAGAAGCATTTATACCCGGCTCAATCCGGAGAGAAAAAGTGAACAGTGAGAAGGACTGCAGATGCAAAACCTCACAGGTCAGGTGAGTCATTTTAACAACACTGCCCGCCTGAATGTGTTTGTCGTCATTTCTAAATAACTGTTCACCGGCTGCCCACGGAAAGAAGACGGAGAGGGAGAATGAATGAAAGGAATGGAGGTGGGGTTGGAAATTGGGACATGAAGGGGAGAAGAGAGAATAAATCACCCAGTGAGGAGGACGACGCCTCCTGATGGGAAAAACAGCGGGAGATTCTCTCTCTCTCTTCTCTTATCTTAGTATTTCTCTCATCACTCTTCTTGTCTCTGCCTCTGTCACTTCTCTGAGATTTAGTGGACACACTGAAAACATGCATATTGTCTTTTTTTCGAATTACATGCAAGCATTGTAAAGTGAATAGCAGCTGTTTCTCAGACGGCAATAATCAGATAGAGAGGAATTAACATGTTAAACATCCTGCTCACAAACACATCAAATTGTTT